GTATGATTTTAGTATCGGGCATGTGCCAGGGGAGGAAAATGTAATGGCAGATTATTTGTCAAGACCGGACACCGAAGCCGAACTTCCAGAGATAGCGTGTGCAGTTAACGGCCTAGAGGGAGATCCCCTAGAACTCGTCCGGCATCAGAAAGCCGACCCTAACCTTCGGGAGGTAATCAGAGTGATAAAAGAGGGAGAAGATGTTGACAAGAGTGGAACAGATAAAGAATTAACAGTGTTGCTGAGGCAGAAGGAGAGACTGAGAGTGAACGGATACGGAGCCTTGACCTGGCGGGATGATGACGAGAATTGGGTAGCAATAATCCCAAAAGATCTGCGCCAGGACATGATTCGTGAATGTCACCAGGTAGCGCACACAGGTATTGCACGGACAACTGATTTGCTGCGACAAAGTGCGTACTGGCCAGGTATGAGAGACGATGTTGCACGATATGTATTAGCGTGCCAGCGGTGTCAACTAATGAAAGGGGATCGATGCATACGACCGCCATTGCAGTCAATTCCAGTAACAGCAGTTGGTGATTTGTGGTCAGTAGATATTATGGGACCGTTCCCACAGACGACAAGTGGTAACCAGTACCTGCTGGTGATGACTGAGCATGCCACACGATGGGTAAATGCCGTGCCGATGGCGGACCAACGTGCAAGGACGGTGACGGAAGCGGTAATGCGGCACATTGTGGCTGACCATGGGATACCAAAGATAATATTAACCGATCAAGGTCCCTGTTTCGAGAGTGATGAGTTCAAGTCCCGTCTAAAGCAGTTAGGTATCAAGAGAGTACGAACAACGCCGTATCATCCACAGACGAATGGGTTAACGGAAAGGAATAACCGAACGCTAAAGGAATGGCTAGCATCTAAAGGGGGTGACTGGGAGAAAGAATTACCAATAATCTTGCTGGCACATCGTGCCTCGGCACAGGGAACAACCAGGAAGTCACCGTTCCAGCTGATGTATGGCAGACGGCCGAGACTACCAACGCATGATAAAACCTGGCCGCAACAACAGAGATGGAATACAACAAGATTGAGAGCAGAGCGGAGACAAGCAATCAGGAATGTGAGAGAGAAACAAACATCAGACATGCAGAAGTCAGAACAGGAGAGAAAGAACTGGAGACCGTTTGAAGTGGGAGACCAAGTGAAGTGTAGAGAACGGAAATGTACCACAGGAAGAGGGCCAGGGTCAGGTAAGCTGATCCCGAAGTGGGAGGGACCGTACGTAGTAACCGAGAGGCGCGGCGCAGTGTATACAATCCAGAAAGGAAACAAACAGAAACGCGTGAATGCCAGTGAACTCCAAAGGTGGTTCCAAGTGCGCCAAGAGGGCGAGCCACAAACACTGATAAAGAAGACGGCTGTACGGAGATCAGAAAGGCTGAGAGAGCGACTTGTTAAAGGGGGGACGAGTGTGGTGTGTGCTACTTATACGAACGATATAAGTAGTATAAGAATGGACGTGAAAGAAGATGTCTTACGGTCAGAAGAGGAAAACGGAAAGCAAATAGAGCAAAAGCAAGAAAGATTTAGAGCACCGACAGGAAGTAAAGGAAGCAACAGCAGGAATGGAGGAAGGCTGGAGCGTTGGAAGTCAGGACTCAAAGATGGTGTGCAAATGGAGTGTTCAATGTAATGTTATCGTTTTTAATTGACTAAGAGTGTAAATTTGCCAAATACAATCTATTGAGCCTGCCTCAGTCTTCTCAATACCACATTAGCACAGAAAGGATTTGATTTTGACCAATTTAATCTCGTGTGCTGTTACGGGTATGAGGGCGGTTGTCACTTCCCGGCTGCCCACACTGTGGAAGGTAACCACAGAGTAACCTGAAAAGGAAGGTAGATTAGTGCTGGTCTTAGAGACCTGAGAGCGTGACCATAGAGCCCAAGGGACAACTGCTTCAGGCCGGTCACGTACAGCCTTTATAATGAAGGGTTTTTTGAGTATTAGCTCCGCTCTTAAAAGCCCTTTAGTAAACACCCTTACCCAAGGAGACGGAAATCCGTGAAGTAGGGTGAGGTGTGACATTTTTAGGGTCGACCTCTTCTAACCCTTCCTTCCTAGTGAGAAGGCAGCATCGCTGCAGATGTTGGTTGTCCGAGGGAAACACCTTACTGATGTCACACCCCTCTGCAGTCAGCAGTACGACTTCGCCCTCCGACCTTGAGTAGCTGCTTTTAGTCTCATCGTTCTCCAATCGACCTGACTGGCATGGTAGAACCTTGAGGAACATATGTTCCAGCCAGTATAGCTCGGTTATGTAATCATGATAGGCAAGCCCGACCACCACGTCAAGGTAGCAGCTTTGGTCGGGAAGACGGAACTGTCAATTCCATAGTAGTAGACGTAGTAGAAGTATAGGCAGTGATTGGAAAGATTAGGATTTGTACAAAATATTCAAGGAGTATATACTAGTGAAATAAATTTACGAAGAGAAACATGAAGGTCATTAGGGATTCAGAAGTTTTGAATTTGAGGGAAAACAAATAATCGATGCACCTGCTCCATGGCATCCAAAGTCTCTTATCATCGGTTACTAATGTCCCGCGGACACCAACCTAGTAGTCTACACCTATTAACATGGCTCAGTCCAGTTGTAACTGAATTCATGTTTGTGTGCCATGTTTTAGTCTGGCCGCCCCTAGCTTTCTTCCAACCTACTCCTACACCAGTCATCATCGCTCGTCGGGGCAGTCAGTGGTTGGTCATACGTAACACATGTCCCAACTAGCTCAACTGATGAAGTTTCAATACTTCATTTAATTAGGTAATAAACACTCAACTGATTTAACTTTCAGTGTGAATGACAATTAGATAATTTTGCATTTTTAAAGTGTAATCTAATCGACCTCCTTATTAACGTTCTTATTTACTAATTTATAAATATATATATTGCATTATGGGGTTATGAAGATTGTGAAGTTACACGTTTGAAACCATGAATCGATCAAGGTTAGATCACCATTAGAAACCTGGAAGCACAGGAGGGCCGTTTCGTCCTGGTATGAGACTCATCAAGAGTGCGCATCCACGACTCATGAACCCCGCAGGATTCGAACGCAGGACTTCCGGTCTTGCGCCCGAACGCTTAACCCCTGGATCACTGAGCCGGTATCTAACGGTGTTAATGTCTAACTTCAATCAATTTACGGAGTTGCGCAACCTCATACACTGTCTACACCCGAACAGGTTGAACTTCATTGGTCAGGACTTCTCACTATAGAACTCGGATAAGATTCCTCATGGAGCTAGTCACTACTGAGCACAGGTAATTGCATTACGGGGTTGTGAAGATTGTTAAGTTAAACATTTGAAATCATGAGTCATGGAGTCGTGGATGCAAACTGCTGATAAGTCCTCATGTTCGCAAAAGCCGATCGAGACTTCTGTATCTGAGTTGAGATTTCGTCAGTCATCAGGCCATCAGCACTGATGAGACTCTCATGATAAGTGAAGTGATCAACACGCTCGATTACTGCACTCCCTATCACTAGTTCAGGTGCCGATGCTACCCAATCATGAAGGAACATTTTGCATTTCGGGGGTGAGGACCGCATGTCGAAAATGCTTGCATTGTTGCTTAGGGTGGTCAGAAGACTCTGCTTTTGTCAGCGTCTTCACCGAATAGAACTATATCATCGGCATATTCTAGTTCAGTAATCGATTTTCCTGGTAGAAGGTCAACTTCTGAAAAATCTGACGAGCTTAATGTTAACTCTAAGAGCGTGTCTATGATAAAATTAAACAAGAATGGAGAGAGTGGACAGGCCTGACGGACACCACTTGATGTAGAGAATTCAGATGACAGTTCGCCAAAAGCTCTCACCCGACCAGTAGTGTTCGAGTAGAGAGCTTGTATAAGGTTTATATACTTCTTTGGTACACCTTTCCATGACAGACTTTGCCACAGAACCTCACGATCCACAGAGTCAAATGCCGCTTTTAGGTCCAGGAAAACAACTATTGTAGGACGCCTTAATGTGTGTCTGTGTTCAAGGGTCTGTCGTAGTGTGAAAATGTGGTCTATACAACCACGTCCAGGTCGAAAACCAACCTGGTTTTCTTTAATCTGCTCTTCACGACCTCTAGTCAGACGTCTAAGTATAATCGAGGCTAACAATTTAGAAACTATATTAGTTAAACTTATTCCCCTGTGATTGTCACAAGAAGACTTTTGTCCTTTCTTTTAGATTGGGACAATTAGCGACTGAGACCAGTCAGATGGGATTATGTCCAGTTCCCAGATCCCATCTAACTGGTCTCATGATTTCAAATACATATATATATATATATATATATATATATATATATATATATGCATTACGGGGTTGTGAAGATTGTTAAGTTACACATTTTTTGAAACCATGAACCGATCAATGTTAGACCACCATTAGAAACCTGGAAGCACTGGACGGCCGTTTCGTCCTGGTATGGGACTCCTCAGCAGTGCGCATCGACGACCCCTGCATCCCGCAGGATTCGAACCCAGAACCTTCGGTATTGTGCGCGAACGCCCTAACCATAGGACCACTGAACCGGTATCGAACGGTGTTAATGTCTAACTTGATCAAATTCACGGAGTTGCGCAACCTCATACACAGTCTACGGTAGACATTGCCTACACCCGAACAGGTTGAACTTCACTGGTCACGTCTTCCCACTAGAACTCGGAGAAGATTCCTCACAAAGCTAGTCACTAGTGAGCACAGGTAATTTGCATGACGGGGTTGTGAAGATTGTTAAGTTACACATTCCAGGTTTCTAATAGGGGTCTAACATTGATCGATTCATGGTTTCAAAATATATATACATATATATATATATATATTTAGGATAACATTTTCTATTATTTTTTCATTTCGACAAGTTTATCTCTGTTTTTCGTTTGTTTGTTTGTTATTATTCTGTGATTTACTTACTTATTTACTGAAAAAAAATCACTATTGTTATTTTTTTTTAAAAATTTATTCTATAGCAAGCGCATATTGCTGAACGTGATGTGAATTCAGCTTGTGAAATTTTAGCAATGGGTTCAGAATATGCACGTTTACATAATTCCGATTATACTAATGGGTTATTTCTATTAAGTAAATGCATGGTTAGTTGTGTAGTTTTTTTTTGTATATTTCTTGTTATCATGTATGTTCATATTTAAAAATGGGGGTAACCCTTGATATCATCTGTTAGGGCATTCATCCAATATCCTAAGAGAATAATGATTGCTCAATTACTATTGGTTAATTCCTACTGGTCAATTTTATGGTCGTCCTAGTAGATATCAATGTCACGTGCTTCAATGTTGTTTCTTATTGGTTGTCCTGACTATCAATGTCACTTCAAATGTTGCTTCCTATTGGTCGTTGTCGTAACTGTCAATGTCACAGACTTCGATGCTGTTTCCTATTCGACCAAAATGTATAAATATGCATTATCTGTAACATTTTATGACCAGGACCCGGTCCCGGATCCCTAGTCCGGGATCCTGATTCTCTTCTGGATTCGGACCTCGTACTTTCTGGATGCTTGTAGAATACAGGTTCTACTTCATATCAAGTCTTCTTATTTTACTCAATATGGGGGTTGGGATAATTGGATTAGAGTAGCATGTCGTGTCGCCGGATCCTCGATCCTCGCTCTCGTTTTCCGACTAAGGTAAACTCGTAATAGTTCAAGTATATCTCAAGTTGACGTGTTTACGTGATTCGTTGTTGAACTCTTACTTATGCATGCATGTTACCTTTTGTGGGGAGCATAGGCTGGCCCAACTAGGCTTATCTAAACTATTGTGTCCAATTCGCTACAAGCTCTTTAGATGTGTTTGCCTTTTAATACTGGATGCTGTGATTTCTCTGGTTTTCATGTTTTCCTTTAGTTTGGATGATTCTAAGTTTAAGGTTCACCTTGTGATGTTGTAGTTCGGTGATTATTGCAATATTTACCCTATCCACCTCCAATGCTTTTTATCCTAATTTCTTTCTCAGCTTGAATGTGGTTGGTTCTCTCCTGTGATAGGTTGTCGCTGACGGTCAGTCAGTCAGTTGCAACGCAGAACTTCCTACGTATGTACATCAGTTCAGGTTGCCATACCACATTAGCACAGAGTCAAATCAAATTCAAGAGTGATAGAGATAGTAGTGGTATTAATGGTAATGAAGAAGGCTAGGGTTTAGAAGATATTATTATTCAAGAAATATAATTCAGTGAGATAAGGTTAGAAAGACAAAGAAGGTAGAGGTGTTGATGAATCCAGAAGATTAGGATTTGAGAGAGTTGACGGTGTCTGGCCAACATATTGGGGATATCTTGCCGAAGTTCCTGGTTTCGATTCCTGCGAGGTGCAGGATTCTTGGATGTGCACTGCTGATAAGTCTCATACCAGGACGAAATGTCCGTCCAGTGCTTACAGGTTTCTAATGGTGATCTAACATTGATCGATTCACGATTTCAATGAGTAACTCAACAATCTTCACAACTCCATAATACAATTACCTGTGCTCACTAGTGACTAGCTCCATGAGGAGTCTTCTCCTAGTTCCAGTGAAAAGTCCTGACAAGTGAAGTTCAACCTGTTCGGGTGTAGACAGTAACTACCGAAGACATTGTATGAGGTTGCGCAACTTAGTGAATTGATTAAAGTTAGACATTAGCACCGTCAGATACCACCGGCTCAGTGGTCCAGGGGTTAAGCGTTCGAGCGCAAGACCGGGAGTCCTGCGTTCGAATCCTGCGGGGTTCATGAGTCGTGGATGCTCACTGCTGATGCGTCCCATATCAGGACGGAACGACTGTTCAGTGCTTCCAGGTTTCTAATGGGTGGTCTATCAATGATCGATTCATGATTTCAATAATATTCGTTCGTTCTTTAGGAGGTTTCTGATTGTCATCAAGTGACCTCGTCCTGTCACTTCTCATAGGCTCTTTTATATCAAGTGTCATTTGAAATTCCTCTTTCATCATTTTGTTAAATATGTAGTGAAGGATATGATTGTGAGTAAGTTGATCTCGTGTGCTATTTAGAGGTATGAGGATAGATATCACTCCCCGGTCGCCCACGCTGTGTAAGCGTATATTCTTGATAAACCTGGAAAGGGAGTTGAATTAGCTTTGGTCATAGCGACCTGGAAGCGTAATCACCGATCCCAAGGGACGACTACGTGAGGCCAGTCATGTACGGCCTTTTATGGGAACTTGTTGACATGTTAGCTCCGCTCTCCGAAAGACTTTACCTCCTGAGACGTAAATCCGTGAGGTAAGGTGAGGCATGACATTTTAAGGGTCGACCTTTTCGAACCCCTTCCTTCTACTGTGAGAAGGCATCAGCACCACTGCAAATCTAATTGTCCGAAGGAAACACCTTACTTCACCCTCATACCTTGAGTTGGCGCTTTTAGTCTTATCGTTTCCCAGTCAACTTCTCTGGAGTGGTGGGGTAAGACCTAAAGGAACACATATTCCAACCAATATAGCTTGGTTTGGTCATCACTGCAGGCAAGTCTGACCATCACATCAAGGTAACAGCTACAGTCGGGTTAACATAAAGAAAATTTATGTACAATGCCAAGTCATAGCATTTTTCATGATTATATAACCTGTTAGTTCTCATCCCAACCGTAGCTGCTACCTTGATGTGGTGGTCGGGCTTGCCTATCGTGATGACCCAACCGAGCTATACTGGCTGGAACATATGTTCCTGCAGGTCCTACCATGCCAGGCAGGTCGATTGGAGAACGATCAGACTAAAAGCAGCTACCCAAGGTCTGAGGGCGAAGTCGTACTGCTGACTGCAGAGAGGTATGACAGCAATAAGGTGTTTCCCTCGGACAACCAGCATGTGCAGCGATGCTGTCTTCTCACAAGGAAGGAAGGGTTATAAAATGTCGACCCTCAAAATGTCACACCTCACCCTAACTCATGGATTTCCGTTTCCTTGGGTAAGGGTGCCCACTAAGGGCCTTTAAGAACGGAGCTAATCCTGAAAAAACGTTTCATAAAAAGGCCGTGCGTGACCGACCTGAAGCAGTTGTCCCTTGGGCTCTGCGGTCACGCTCTCAGGTCTCTAAGACCAACACTAATCTATCTTCCTTTTCAGGTTCCTCAAGAAACAACCTTCCATGGTGTGGGCAGCCAGTAAGTGACAACCGCCCTCATACCCGTAACAGCACACTGTTCGTTCTCACTCAATAATAATTTTCTCGTTGATTTTTCCTCTTTCTTTCTTTCTTCTATATGCTTACAGTTATTGTTAGCAAGTAGACAACTCCCGGAAGTTACAGTTACATTAACCAATGTGAATCGATTAATTGAACAATTCAAAGGAACTATGTATCATCGTGAAGCTTTACGTGTATTTTATCTTGTTCTTCATGTATCATTTTATTTAATTTCTGGTCAAGCAAAATCTGCTCATCCAATTCTAAGACAATTACATCAAAGTATTCAACAATTTGCTGCAATGGATGAAGGTAATTATAGTGTTACTTATTCATCATGTACACTGATTGATTGATATACTTAGCTTCTCACAGTACATTGTCTATGAGTAAGAGTGATTGAATTTCATACTGACGACCTATTCGTTGGAATGCCATTCAATGTCACGGTACGATTTGAGAATAAGGAGAATCTGGTCTACCTCCGCAAACACTGTCATATAGAGCTATGTGTATATATGGTCACTGCTAGAGAAGTCTGATTCTACTGGCTTATCGTATCTTGAGTATTGTTTACCAAGTTGAGAGAACAAAAAGAGGATGTCTGGCGCTGTAACCTGGTTATAGTGAGTATGCATAGTCTCTATCTAGGGGATTCGGAAAACCTTGATTACAAACCAATAGTGTATATACGGGCTGCAGGATCCTGAGAGAACAAATCAATAGATGAAGCATTGATACTTCATCAGTTGAGGTGGTTGGGACATTTGTTACGTATGGCTAACCACCGACTGCCACGACAAGCTATCTTTTGTGGTGTAGGAGTAGGTTGGAAGAAAGTTAGGGGCGGCAAAACCAAAAACATGGCAGAAATCCATGAAGTCACTGACAAGTGGATTGAGTCATGTTGGTAGATGTAGACTACCTGGAGACCTTGAATGACATGACTCAGAATCGTTTGCAATGGCTCAGGTGAATCCACTCTTTGTTTGCTTTTTAATTCTAACCTTCTGAATTCCTCATAATCTCTACTTTACTGGTTCTAAATTTATCTCACTGAATTATACTTTTCGAATCATATCTTCGCTTCCTAATCTTCTCCATTACTGCTAATAATTCTACTATCACTATCACTGGATTTGAACTGACAGTTGTGTCTCTGTGCTGATGTGGTATGGCAACCTGATCTGATGTACTTATGTACGATGTTCTGCGTTGTATCTGTCTGTACGTCTGTCTGTCTGCCTGTATAACTTCAATTATTCCGTATTCAAATATTTTCAATAGGATAGGAAATATCCTAGAGCCCATATATATACCATTGGTGTTAGATTCTGTGAACCCATCAACCCAACTAAAGCACTAGACACTCTTTGTTCATTTTCTCAATTTCGTAAAAAAATTACTTTCGACAATGAGAAAGCAGTGAGTTGAACTCCACCGTCAGTGACCACATAAGAGCATTTCGAGATAGAGAGTGGACTCTTCCAAAACTTGGCTCTTTTGTAGAAAAACTTTTGTGCATCAACACCCTAAGGCAAAGTAAAGGTTGAATCTAAGTTGTACTTAATCAGTTAGTATTTATTATGTGTAAATACAGGATGTACATTTTATCTTCTAGATGTGAAATAGTTCAGTAAAACTATCAGGAGCTTGTTTGTGTATACTCATTTTTTGTATTGATCTGTTTGAAAATAATCGAAAGTTCATATATCTGGGTATGTAAATTCTAGTAGTCATACGATCAATGAAATCTGAATAATCTTTGAAGCTGTCATGATGTTGTTATCTTGGTTGTGAAAGGGGTCGATTTTACACTATATCGATGAGAACTCTCTGGTTGTAAAATATGGTCTCTCGTATTGACGATGTTCGATAAATCTGTGTGTTCAATAATCATTGTTACCTCTGAAAAAAAAAACGTTGCGGACATCCAGTGGAGGAACACCACGTTACCAATATGGATTTTTTGGGAACAGTGATGATAATTCAATCAGTGTTGCTGTTTTTCTATAGATACAAAACTTTGGTGGCATGAATATGCTTTTACATATGTTATCGTAGCAATTTACATACACTCCATCCACCAGTCAGTCAGTCAGTTAGTCATTTACAATGTAGAAATTCGTACTTGCGTTCAGGTTACTATACCGCATTAGCTCAAAGACGTAACTGTCAGTTTAAATCCTGTAGTGGCGGAGATAGTTGAAGAATCCACCATATGTACATGGACACTAGGACTGATTGAAAGAAGATTGAGTTTATGAACTAGCGTTGGAGGCATCTGTCGGTCCATTACGAATTCCTGGTTAGGATCCTAAAGTTAGTACAACTCAACGGTTAGATACGTTATCAGACATGCCTCCATGAAGTCACTGACAAGTGGATTGAGTCATGTTGGTAAATGTAGGTTACCTGGTTGGGGTCCACCAGGCGAAAGTCACCAATGGTTAGAGACCTTGAACGACATGGCTCAAAATGATATGCATTGACGTAGGTGCATCCATTCGCTGTGCTCTCTCAAATCCTAATCTTCTGGATTCATCAGCACCTCTACCTTCTTTGTCTTTCTTAACTTATCTCATTGAATTATACTTTTTGACTAATATCTTCAAACCCTTTAGTCTTCTTCATTACCATTAATACCTCTACTATCTCTACTATCACTATGGAATTTGATTTGACATTTGCGTCTCTATGCTAATGTGGTATGATATGGCAACCTGAACTTATGTAGTACATACGTACGAAGTTCTTACGTTGCAACTGACTGACTGATGCCTCAAAACTAAAACCCACTTGTTATCTTTTTATGTCTTCTATTTATTGCATTGCGGGGTTGTTGTGAAGATTGTTAAGTTTTATTTTATTGTAACCATGAATCGATCAATGCTAGACTATAACCATTAGAAACCTGGAAGCACTGGACGGCCGTTTCGTCCTGGTATGGGACTCATCAGCAGTGCGCATCCACGACTCCTGCTCCTCGCAGGATTCGAACCCAGGACCTTCGGTATTGTGCGCGAACGCCCTAACCGCCGGTATCTAACGGTGTTAATGTCTCACTTGATCAAATCCACGGAGTTGCGCGACCTCTATTTATTGATGTGTTGCTGTACACCGTTTTTTTTCCGTTCTCAGTTTATTTAGTAAACACACACAATGTTCAATTTTCTTTTCTTTTCAGCGGATACAACATCAACCAATGAAATTGAACGATTTCATTGGATGCCACGTGAACATATGGTTATATTAGTCTATCTTGTTACAGTAATGCAATCAATGCAAGCTGGTATGTTAGATAGAGCTAAACGTTCAGCTGAAAAAGCATTAATACAAATTGAAAAGCTATCTGTATTCGATACAAGTCCATTATTGACTGTATTTCATTTAAGTTTATTAGAACACACTGCTATGGGTCGTTTAGTAATGGGTGTACAAACAGCTGCAGCACAAGATATTGGTCAAGTTTATCGTATATGTCAAGCTAATCCAGCGCTGATGTATAAACGTTTACCACAATTGCATACATTAATTGGTTTATATGCTATGTCAATGAATTGTATGAATCAAGCAGAAAATCAATTTAAATATGCTTTAAGAGTAAGTTATTTACTTACTTACTTACTTATGCCTGTTACTCTTAATAGAGCGTAAGCCTTACTTACTTACTTACTTACGCCTGTTACTCCCTATGGAGCATAGGCCGCCAACCAGTTTTCTTCAACCAACTTTGTCCTGGGCCTCTCCTTCTCCATTTCTGTCCAATGTTTGTTCATTCCTCTCATATCTTTCTCTCTGTTTCTCGGCGTAATGTGTTCCTAGGGCCTTCCTCTTTTCCTTTTGCCTTGAGGGTTCCATGTGAGGACTTGTCTTGTAACTTTCCTCATTGTGTGTCCTATCCACTTCCACCACTTCTTCCTGATTTCCTCCTCCACTGGAATCTGGTTTGTTTTCTCCTACAGTACGTTGTTGCCGATGGTGTCTGGTCAACGAATTCGAAGTATTTTGCGTAGACAACTGTTAATAAACACTTGTATCTTCTGGATGATGGCTTTCGTAGTTCTCCAAGTTTCCACCCCATACAGTAGAACTGTCTTCACATTTGTATTGAAAATCCTGATTTTGGTTTTGGTTGAAAGTTGTTTGGAGTTCCAGATATTTTTCAATTGTAGAAATGCAGCCCTTGCTTTGCCGATCCACGCCCTCACATCTGCATCGGATCCACCTTGATTGTCGATGATGCTGCCCAGATATGTAAAGGTGTTAACGTCCTCCAAGGCATCTCCATCAAGAGTGATTTGGTTGGTGCATGTTGTGATGCATCGGAGAATTTTGCTTTTTCATTTATGTATGTTGAGACCTACTGCTGCAGAGGCTGCTGCTACACTGGTCGTCTTCTCTTGCATTTGTTGTTGTGTTTGAGATAGAAGAGCCAGGTCATCTGCGAAGTCCAGATCGTCCAGCTGCGTCCTAACTGTCCAGTTGATACCGTGCTTCCCTCCAGATGTTGACGTCTTCATAATCCAGTGGATTGATGACCAGGAGAAAGAGAAAGGATGAGAGTAAGCAACCTTGCCTGACACTGGTCTTCACCTCGAAAGAGTCTGTTAGCTATCCTCCGTGTACGATTTTGCAGCCACCGACCAATTTTCTATGAGATGGGGTCGTTAGCCCTCCTCCTTTTCTTTTACGGGCTTGGGGCTGCCGACAGGAACTTCTATTGTTTATATCATCATTTCTAAACAAAAACATTAGCTATGAATATTCTTTTCTCCATAAAGTTACCTTTTTTTTTAACTAACACAAATACATCGTCTGTCATCACAGCACATCAACACAGTACCGAAATTTATCTTAGTTTATTTTACCAAACTACTTACAAGTAGTAAAATAGTTCAATGGATAAAAATCTTGTGTTTTCATTTTTTTAAATTCAACATCTATAAAATTCAGCTAACAAAGAGTTCCACACATGACATACCATTACTTGCATTGCGGGGTTGTTGTGAAGATTGTTAGGTTTTATTTGTAACCATGAATCGATCAATGTTAGACCAGGATTCTAATGGTGGTCTAACATTGATCGATTCATGGTTACAAATAAAACTTAACAATCTTTACAACAACCCCTCAATGCAATTACATGTGTCCACTAGTGACTAGCTTGGGAAGGAATCTTCTCCGAGTTCTAGTGGGAAGTCGTGACCAGTGAAGTTCAAACCTGTTCGGATGTATACAGGGTATGAGGTTGCGCAACTCTGTGAATTTGGTCAAGTTAGACATTAACACCGTTACATACCGGCTCAGTGGTCTATAGGTTAGGGCGTTCGCGCACAATACCGAAGGTCCTGGGTTCGAATCCTTTGGGGTGCAGGAGTCGTGGATGCGCACTGCTGATGAGTCCCACACCAGGACGAAACGGTCGTCCAGTGCTTCCAGGTTTCTAATGGTGGTCTAACATTGATTGATTCATGGTTACAATTGGTACCATTACTTATCTAATTCGTTGAGATTGGGGGGGGGGGAAAGTGTGCTTTGCTTATTGAAAATAAAGAGATGTATTGTTTTCAAGACTAGTTCATGAATACAGTATTCACCACTACCTCAGTGATCTGGTCAATGATACTTTCACAGTTGAATCAATCATAGCTAGGTCATTGTTGAAAACCTGAAAAGAAGAACTGAACAGCTGTTTTTTCCCAGTAGGGGACTGATCAACCCTAACACATCCACGCAACCATTTATGGGAATAAAAAACCCGAGGACCTTTGGTCTCGCACACAAACGATTAACCTGTTTACTGATAGAGATAATCTTAGTGACTGATGTCCTATTATTGATGGGAATATTCATTGAGTAGTTGCCTATTTCAAAGCAGCCGATATCACTATGTGCGTGATTTTATTGTGTTAATGAGGAATGAAAAATGTTGCACCAAAATCGGATTACATCGACACCTGAGCTAGTGATAAGGAGTGAAGTAGTCGAACGTGTAGACCGCTTCATTTATCTCGGGAGTCTCATCAGTGCTGATATTCTAGTGTTTCACGAAATCTCAGCACGGATACAGAAATCTCGATTGGCTGTTGCCAAGTTGCGTCACCTATGGCGCAGGCGAGATATCCGTTTGCTAACCAAAGGACGAGTGTACTGTGTAGCAGTTCGCTCCGTCCTACTTTACGGCCGTGAAACATAGCCAGTGAGAGTAGAAGATATTCGTAGGTTACTGGTTTTCGATCATAGGTGTCTCCAAAGCATTGCTCGCATATCTTAGGACAACTGAGTGAGCGCTGTTGTTGTTATGAAATGAGTACTCGGTAAGGATGGCAGATCAATAGACAAAGTATTGAAATTTCATCAGTTGAGGTGGTTGGGACATGTGTTACGAATGCCTGACCACCGACTGCTGCGACGAGCTATGTTTTGTGGTATAGGAGTAGGTTGGAAGAAAGTTAGGGGCGGGCAGACCAAAACATGGCACAAATCCATGAAGTCACTGACAAGTGAACTGATTCATGTTGGTAGGTGTTGACTACCTGGTTGGTGTCCGCGAGACGAAAGTCATCAATGGTTAAAGACCTCGAACGAGATGGCTCAAAACCGTTTACAATGACGACGGTGCATCTATTATTTGTGTTCTCTCAAATCCTAACCTTCTGAATTCCTCATCTTTTTTCTAAATTTATCTCACTGAATTATACCTCTCGAATCATATCTTCTAACCCTAATCTTCTCCATTAACGGTAAAAATTCTGCTATCTCTACCACTATGAGATTTGAACGGACAGTTACTTCTCTGTGCCAATGTGGCATGGCAACTTGAACTTATGTACTCACGTACGAAGTTCTACGTTGTTGACTGATTGAATAAAGTTAGAATTAGTACACTTCGAATTAAACAGAAGGAAGGTTTATAGAAAAGGTCGACCGTAAAAATGTCACACCTCACCTTACTTCATGGTTTTCTGTCTCCGGCTATAAGGCTTTTTAAACAAGAGTGGAGCTAACACATCAAAAATTTCCAATAAATATGCCGTGCGTGACGGGCGTCAGGCAGTTGTCCCTTGGATTCTGTGGTCACTCTCCCACGTCTCTAAGATTGACGCTAATCCAACGTCTTTTTAAGGCTTCTTAAGAAAACACCCTTTCGGATAGTGACATCAGCTGTCATACTCGCAACAGCAAACGAGACCAAACTAGTCAAGATTTAATCACTAATTCGATCGATATTCTGAAACGTTTCCTCTCACACTTTTCTATATGTTGTAACAGATATTTTTTTTATGAGCTGATTAATTTGATTAGACTATTTCGCTACATCATGATAATTTATACACATATTCATCTTTAATCACCTTTCATTATTTCTATGATAAGTTTAATTTTAAAGAATACTAACAATTCAAAGTAATCGATAAGTTAGTTCATTGTTCGCTCTCTTCCTCTCACTTACTCCTTGTTTTTATCCCTTTCTTAACTTATTATCACGTTTGATTTTAGCTTATTGCTGGACCTCAACAATCCACAGTCGGTGCTTGTCGAACAACCAATGCAAATAATGATAAGAATTTCTTGAATACAACCAATCATAATGCTACAAGAGCATCATGTCAACCGGATGGACCACGTGATTCGTTGTCTGTATTAATTTGTCTTAATTTAGCTTTAGTTCATATACGTAAAGGCAATACCATTGAATGTGAGGTAAGTTAGTAAGTAAGTGTGTGTGTATGTATGTCTGTTTAATTTTCTTCATTGAAATGATGAATCAATCCATGACCAGTAAGTAAGTGGAGTTCAATCCTGTCGGGTGTGCGGCAGTTGTTACTCACCGAGGATAATGGGTAAGGTTGAGCGAAAAATCCTTAGATTGTGATCAGAGGTAGATAGGAACATCATTGGATGTCACTATCTTTGTGGTTCAGTAGTGGTTAGACGTTTTTGTGCGCAAGACCGAAAGTCATAGGTTCGATTCCTGCGAGTAGCACAAGTCATGGATGCACATTGCTGACGAATAGTTTCATTCCAGGCCGAAACGGCCGTGCAGTTCTTGCAGGTTTCTAATGGCGATCTAACGATCTCCGTGCGGGTACAGGTATGAGGGCAGATGTCTCTTCCCGGCTGCCCACACCATGGAAGAGTGTTTCTTGAGGAACCTGAAAAAGAAGGTAGATAAGTGTTGGTCTTAACGACCTGGGAGCGTGACCACAGAGCCCAAGGAACAACTGCTTCAGGCCGGATACGTACGGCCTTTTTATGAAAGGTATTTTGAGGATTAGCTCCGCTCTTAAAGGCCCTTAGTGGGCACCCTTACCCAAGGAGACGGAAATCCGTGAGTTAGGGGAGGTGTGACATTTTTAGGGCCGACCTTTTCTAACCCTTCCTTCCTTGTGAGAAGGCAGCATCGCTGCACATGCTGGTTGTCCGAGAGAAGCACCTCTTTACAGTTAGCAGTACGACTTCACCTCAGACCTAAAGTTGCTGCTTTTAGTCTCATCGTTCTCCAATCCACCTGTCTGGCATAGTAGAACCTACAGGAACATATGTTCTAGCCATCATCATCACGATAGGTAAATCCAACCACCACGTCAAGCTAGCAACTACGGTCGGGTGTTTCACATTGAATTCGTGAATCAACCTGTGGCTAGTGAAGTTCTACCGTGTTCAGTATGAGGTAGTTACTCAGTGAAGACAATTGGTCAGGTTGCACAAAAATCCTTAGATTCTGATCAGAGTTAAACATGAACACTACTGGATGCCACCGGCTCAATAGTCCGGAGGTGGTTAAGCGTTCACCGGCGCGCAAGACCGAAGGTTATAAGTTCAATTCCTGTTAGTGGCAGAAGTCATGGATGCGCATTGCTGATGTGTAGTCTCATTCCAGGCTGAAACGGCCATCCAGTCCTTGCAGGTTTCTAATGGTGATCTAACGATCTCCGTAATACTATGAAGTACAATATTATCGTTTCTTTCTTCATAATCCTTTTAAAATCGATCAGTTAATATTTCATTGAAAATCACACCCTAGATACATATACTTACTATTACGCTCGTCTTTAGGTATGCTTAAAACGATTACGAGTTCACCTTATTCGAATAACGAGAACAACACAACGAACTAGCGTCCAGGTAGGCTACTGTGATCCCTTGACCCAACAGGTATCAGCAAGAAGTCTTGATGCAGTGTAGAAATTGTATTCTACAAACACCCAACCAGTACACGCAATGAATCCAAGCACTCATATTGCGTTTATTTATACTCTATAGAGACATCCTTAGGACAGTCACAGAAATAGCACACACTAAAATGACACAGTAACTAATCATAGCCGAGGATATTCCTGGTGGGAAATGTGATCTCAAGGTCAACCGATCGGCCAATGAAATAAATCCAAAGTAAAGATATTTATCAAGCGAGTTCTGGGGATCCCCAACACTTACATTGAAATTGTATACTAGTCAATCACTCACTCATCGTTAGACCACCATGTAGAAACCTAGAAGCTTTGAACGTTCGTTTCGGCCCTTTATCGGTTTCGTCAGCAGTAATTCATCTACGACTCCTGTTATTTGCAGGAATCGAACACATGACCTTCGGTCTTGCATACGAACACTTAACTTCTGGACCCATAGACATGTTAGCATCTAATGGTGTTCATATCTAACTGTCTGATCACAATCTAAGGAATTTTGTACAACCTCAACCCATTTGTCTTTGTTAATTAGCATTCCCTGTCAATACACTCAACTTGGTTGCTTAGTTCAATTGTCAACTAATAAACTTATTCATTCTGAAAAGTTGTATGGAATATTTTCTTATCTTTCTTCGTGTGTTCTCTTGTTTTTTCTGTTTCGTTTTGAATTATTGATCAAATGTATCCGTGTTTGAATTTTCAGGAGTAGACCTTTTACCAAGGGGCTTGCTTATTGACTTAAAATATGCCGATGATATAGTTCTATTCGGTGAAGACGCTGACAAAATGCAGAGTCTTCTGACTACCATAAGCAACAATGCGAGCATGTTCGGGATGCGGTTTTCCCCCTCGAAATGCAAAGTGTTGTTTCAAGATTGGGTTGCATCGGCACCTGAACTAGTGATAGGGAGTGAAGTAGTCGAGTGTGTTGATCACTTCACTTATCTGGGGAGTCTCATCAGTGCTGATGGCCTGATGACTGACGAAATCTCAGCTCGGATACAGAAAGCCCGATTGGCTTTTGCCAACCTGCGTCACTGATGGCGTAGGCGTGATATCCGTTCGGTGACTAAAGGACGAGTGTACTGCGCAGCAGTTCGTTCCGTTCTCTTATATGGCTGTGAAACATGGCCGTTAAGAGTAGAAGATGTTCGTAGGTTACTAGTATTCGATCATAGATGTTTAAGAAGCATTGCTCGTATATCGTGGGACAACCGAGTAAGCAATGCTGTCGTTAGGAAACGAGTACTAGGTAAGGATGGCAGATCAATCGATGAAGTGGTGAAACTTCATCAGTTGAGGTGGTTGGGACATGTGTTACGTATGCCTAACCACCGACTGCCTCGACGAGCTATGTTTTGCAGTGTAGTAGTAGATTGGAAGAAAGCTAGGGGCGACGATACTAAAACATGTCAGAAATCCATGAAGTCACTGACAATTGGACTGAGTCATGTTGGTAGACGTAGGCTACCTGGTTGGAGTCAGCGAGACGAAAGTCACTGATGGTTAGAGACCTTGAACAACATGGCTCAGAATCATTTGCAATGGAATAGGTTCATCAATTCTTTGTGTTCTCTCAAATCCTAACCTTTTGAATTCCTCTGCACATTTATCTTCTTCTTTTTAAGTTTATTTCACACGAAGATACTTCTTGGTTGATGTCTTCGATCAGTAATCTTTTTGATTACAGCTAATACTTCTACTACCTCTACTCCTATATGATTGGAATTAACAATTTGATCTCTCTCTGTGCTAATGTGATGATATGACAACTTCAACTGATGTACGTGTGTACGTACATACGAAGTTCTATGTTGTTGCTTACTGTGACTGTTAGACCTAGTACCAAAATAAAAGCATAAAAATCTGTTTTATTTATCAAAGTTTCGTATCTATTTATCTATCTATCTCTCTTTTCCACGCAGGCATTATTAAATGAAGTATTCTCATATGGTATTCATGTACTTGAAGGTTGTTATTGTCTACGTGCAGCTGCAGATTATGTACGTGCATTTCAAGCATTCTATGAAAATCGTCTATTAGATGCAAAATCTTATTTACGTGAAACTGTACGACTGGGCAATGAAGAAGAATTGCATCGTTTATCTGCTTCAGCATTTATTACAATGGGACAAATACATTTGAATGAACAAAATACTACGGTAAGTTTGTATAAAAAAAATGTGAACATTTTATGATTATTATCAAGCAATAGTAGTAGTAGTGTGGTGCGCGCTACTTATAAGTAGTATATGACGCGAGTGTAACCGTGATGTCTGGCCGAAGATGGTGGAAGGTCAAGAAAGGAAGAGTTAGAAGAACACAATGGAATTTGTATGAAACGCATGAATAGTGAAATGTCAGACAATGGATTGAAGATTTGCAAATTAACGGTTTACGATATGGTTTTCCTATTTTACCAATTAACTCTGTAATTTTCGTTAAATACAATTCGGTTGCCCTCACCTGTGTTCTCCTTCACTACAGCTATATGAATAATGCGTTGATGTTTAAAACGAATGGTACTGGGTTCGAGTCCCTTAATGAACATCAATTCTGGAATGTAGGTGAATTCGACTGATAATTCCTGAATGGAACGAAACACGCGTCCGGAATCGCACCGCTAGCCGCTATCTATCTTTGTTTATAGTGCCTCCACATACACATTTGAGTTCGCTTATAGTTAATTTGGTTAAGCCTTTCGATTAATTTATTTAACCAAGCCATTTGTATAACAGTAACTTATATGTACCATTGTTTTTCACTATTGTCTGGTTTGTATATGAGCTGGTATGACTGAATATTGCCTACTGCCTACGCGTGCACGCTAGTGTGCTTGCCTTGCGCTGTATGTTTGTGGTTTACTGGTCCGCTCTATGGTGTGTCAAAAATAAACGTATTCAACCCCTCGTGTTTGCCTTCTAATTTATAACCGTCAGGCATTCACTATTTGATGACGATTGCCTAGACGAGCAAATTACGAAAACTAAGACAACATGTTGAATATCGACGGACCGGCAGTAGCCCCGAAGGTTCTACCAAAATCAGGATTTTAAATACAAATGTGAAGACAGTTCTACTGTATGGAGCGGAAACATGGAGAACTACGAAAGGCATCATCCAGAAGATACAAGTGTTTATTAACAGTTTTCTACGCAAAATACTTCATATTCGTTGGTCAGACACCATCAGCAACAACGTACTGTGGCAGAGAACAAACCAGATTCGAGTAGAGGAGGAAATCAGGAAGAAGCGATTGAGTTTGTGGATAGGAAACACAATACGAAAAGCATCTAACTGCGTCACAAGACAAGCCCTCACATGGAACCCTCAAGGAAAAAAGGAAAAGAGGAAGGCCAAAGAATACATTACTTTGAGAAATAGAGAAAGATATGAGAGGAATGAGAAAACATTGGACAGAACTGGAAAGGGAAGCCCAGGACAGAGTTGGTTGGAGAAAACTGGTGAGCGGCCTATGCTCCATTGTGGGTAGTAACAGGCATAAGTAAGTAAGTAAGTAAGTAGTTACTCCTTAGTTTTGTTTAAGTGTATTTTTATTTTCTTATGTAAGAGGATAAGAGTTAATTAATTTTTTGTTCTCATTTAACTCATTCACTCATTGATTGATCGATTGATTGATTCATTGATTTTAGGAAGGTCATAAAATGATTAGTGCAGCTATTCATATAGCTAATCGTTTACCTGATATCGGTATACAATTATGGGCAACTGCTTTACTTAAAAGTGTTGCTAATCTACATGGTGATACACAAGAAGAAACACGTTGGTTTACAGAACATGATCGTTTTTCAAAAATTGTAATACATGAACATATGCGTGCTATTTCTGCACCGGAACATTCACTTATTGAAGTAAATTAATTGGTGTTTTTTGAGTTTTTTGAGTTTTTCAGTTTTTAGTTTAGTTAAAAATTGTTACGAGCCTGAACGTGTAAACACATCAACTTGAACTATTACGAGTTTACTGTCTAATCGGAAACGCGAGAGCGAAGATCGAGGATCCGATTATCCCGACCCCCATATTGAATAAAAGAAGACAAGACTCGATATGAAGTAGAACCTGTATTCTACAAACATCCAGAAAGTACGAGGTCCGAATCCAGAAGAGAATCAGGATCCCAGACTAGGGATCCAGGGCCGGGTCCTGGTCATAAAACGTTACAGATAATGCGTATTTATACATTTTAGTCTAATAGGAAACAACATCGAAGTCTGTGACATTGACAGTTACGACAACGACCAATAGGAAGCAAAATTTGAAGTGACATTGATAGTCAGGACAACCAATAAGAAACAACACTTGAAGTATGTGACATTGATATCTACTAAGACGACCATAAAATTGACCAATAGGAATTGACCAATACTCCTCTTAGGATATTGAATGAATATCCTAACAAAAATATAAATCATGACAGAAAAAGTTTGTGATTATTTAGTGATTAGCTTTGTAAAAGCAATTCTCAAAGTAGTAATGAGAAACTGTAACGATTGGAGTTAAAATGGTGTCGAGCGTGAGTCAGTTAGTTATTCACCAAAGACAATAGATAATGATTTGCACGATATCGTTGCATGTCGGTTCAGTAGTCAAGAGGTTAAGTGTTCGCTTACAAGGCAGAAGGTCTTGGGTTAGATTCCCATTTACAGTGTTGTGGATGTACACTTTTGATGAGTCCCCCATACCAGGAAGAAATGTCAACATATACTTCCAGGATTTCGATGGTTAATCTAACATTAATGTTTTCAATGAAATTTGTAGGACTTTCGAAATAATATGAGGATAATTTTGTTCATTTTAACCAATCATAGAACAGATTGTAAGAATGAACAGTTTGTAATTATTTGTCAGTGTTATTAAAGCATTCTCATATCTTAGAATTAAAGTAAGTGTTTGTTTGATAAAAGGGTTTTTATCCGTAGGACTTCAAATTATTTGGCATTATAGGAAATGAAACCAAATCTTGGTCAATCGTCAGTGAGTCAGATGCAGCTTAGAACTTTGTACGTAAGTACATCAGTTCATGTTGCCATACCACATCAGCACACAGAGATGTAATTGTCAATTCAAATTCAATAGTAGAAGAGGTAGTAAAGGTATTAGAAGTAATCGGAGAGGTTAGGATTAGAAGATATTATTCAAGAAGTATGATTCAGTGATAAAAGTTTAGCAAGTCAAAACTAGAGGTGTTGAAGAATTGAGAAGATTAGGATTTAAGAGAACAGAAAGAATAAATGTACCGGCGCCATTGCGAACGATTTTGAGCCATGTCATTCAATGTCTCTAATCATCGATTGTTATCGTCTCGCGGATCCCAACCACGTACCCTACATCTACCGACATGGCTCAGTCCACTTGTCAATGAGTTCATGGATTTGTGCCATGTTTTGGTTTGGCCACCCCTACCTTTCTTACAACCTACTCCTACACTGCAAAATATAGCTCGACCTGGCAGTGGGTGGTTAGGCATACATAACACATGTCCCAACCACCTCAACTGATGGAGTTTCATTACTTCATCTATTGATCTGCCATCTTTACCTAGCACCCGTTTCCTAATAACAGCGTCGCTGACTCGGTTGCCCAGGGTATACGAGCAATGCTTCGAAGACACTTATGAGATCTTGGTCAATATCATCCACCCGTCAGTATTCCTCACCTTTTGCTTAGCTGATATCTGATTGGTCCAGCGTATCGTTATGATGATGACTTTTAAGCATGTCCTTTGGTTTTTACACAATACCTTGATCGCTTCATGCTTTTCGATTTCCAGACCAAAACATGGCAGAAATCCATGAAGTCACTGACAAGTGGACTGAGTCATGTTGGTAGATGTAGGCTACATGGTTGGTGTCCGCGAGACGAAAGTCACCAATGGTTAGAGACCTTGAACAACATGGCTCAAAATCGTTTGCAATGGCGCCGGTGCATCCATTCTTTGAGCTCTCTCAAATCCCAATCTTCTGGATTCGTCATCACCTCTACCTTTGTCTTTCTAACCTTTTATCCCACTGAATTATACTTCTTGAATAATATCTTCAAACCCTTTAGTATTCTTCATTACCATTAATACCTCTAGTATCTCTACTATCACTATGGGATTTGATTTGACATTTGCGTCTCTGTGCTAATGTGGTATAGCAACCTGAACTAATGTACATACGTACGAAGTTCTTACGTTGCAACTGACTGACTGACCATGATATATTTATTATCCTATTAACGTATATCTTATATTCTATTGTATATCTTTTAATTTTTTCATTCCAGTGGTTAGATGGACCAATGCCTGAACTTCAACCACCGCATACAGTTGCATCAACTTCAGATACAAATAATTTTTAAATTGGGAGAAAAAAACAATTTTTATCGTTAGAAAATATAGTTGAACGACGATTGATCTCTCTCTGTCTCTCTCTCTGTCTCCCTTGTAAAAACACGCTTATCATCATCATCATCATCATAATTGTATGCTTCTATCTTTCCTTGTTGTTATTGCTGTTGTCTATTCGTCCATTTCAACTTTGACTTTTGCAAATTACATCGAATTGTACTGTCTATCTATGCGTTGTTGGCTTTACTGTTCATCTTCGCACACACCGCACACACACACAATCGACCTTTCAATTAGGTCTCCCTGCTGTTCTATTTTTGTCTCTCAATACAGTGTAACTTGTTTTTACTATTATTATTTAGTATCAGTGACAATGGCAATGATAGTAGTACTACTACTACTACTAATAGTAATAATAGTAGTATCGGTAGTGGTGTTTAGAACTTTTTTGTTCCATTGTACAAAGACAATGTGTGTGTGTCTGTGCGTGTGCGTGTGTGTGTCTGTGTCACTGTTTTACTACGAACTGCTCAACTGGTTTCATCTTTTCACCTGTGTACCTTCTCTAACAAACGACAACAGCGACCCCCCCCACATCATCGTGTCCATCAGTGACAGCATCGGCGACAGTTGTGTGTGTTGTTGAAGCCATACATTGATGAGCTGTGCTGTTGACTGATTATTTTTTTCGTTTGTCTCATTTCCGTTTGTTTTTCTCTTCAATTTGCTTTAATTTTTCTGGTTTTGTGTTTGCCTGTTTGTTGCTCAATGTGTGTGTGTGTGTTGCATATACTTTTTTTCTATTATCGTTCTCATTATTAATAGTGATAATCATGAGGTTAATTTTTTATTTATTCCCCTTTTATTATTTACCAATTTATTTTTCTTTTTTTCTAAATTGAAAAAAAAAATTACACAAATTAAAAGTAATCAATTGTTGTTGGTTTTTTTCTTTTGTGTGTGTGTGTGTGTGTGTGTTCGTAAACTTATGTGAAGAATATTCATTGCTAGCTATTCAGTCCTAGCGGCGTCCAAATTCAAATACGACTGATACGAGCCAAAATGCTATTTCCAAATCTCCTTAGATATATATATCAGAACGCAACACCGTTGGATTGAAGTTGTTTTTATTGGGTCGAGTACACAGGAGAGAGGAGGTAGGCAGGAAGAAATGGAATCGGAATCCGAATCATGAAGGCTTACAAATAGTGCGTATTTATACATTAAGGTTGAATAGGAAAGAAAGAGCATCAAGGTCTGTGATATTGACAGTTTATGACGACGACCAATAGGAAAGAACATTTGAAATGACATGGACAGTCCGGAAAACCAATCAAAGACAACGTCGAAGTATTTGACAGTTAAAACGACCATAATTTTAACAGATAGAAATCGACCAATAGGATGGATACTTCCAAAAATAGTAGTACTCTTAGGATATTTGGTAAATAAATATCCTAACAATTCAGTTCAGGATATATCCTTCAATATTTAATTTCTGTTGTATATATTCACTACTATGTTAACTCTCCTTACCCTACACACTTGAGTCGATAAACGTCTGTTAGCAGATAGGATTAGCAGTGAAATTAGTGACAGATTTATCGACTATTAACCATGGTGTATTAATCCTTCAACAAAACGATTGACTAAACTAAAGAGATTGAAGAGTTTAAGATAACCTATATAAGTATTTTCAATTAGTCAGTCACTTCACTAACAAAACCTTTAAAGTAATCAGTAAATTAGGATGGATCTTGTTAGGATATTCATCTAATATCCTTAGAGAATTATTGGTCGATTTCTGTTGGTCAAGTTTATGGTCGTTTTTAACTGTCAAAGTTAAATACTTCAATATTGTCTCTTATTTGTCATCCGGACTGTCAATGTCATTTCAAATGTTCTTTTTTATTGGTTGTTCTGACTATCAATGTCACTTCAAATGTTGCTTCCTATTGATCGTCTTAACTGTCAATACCACAGAATTCGATGGTGTTTCCCGTTCGACCAAAATATATGAATGCGCATTATCTGTAACATTTTATGACCAGGATCACGACCAAGACCAGGACTCGGTCCCGGATCCCTAGTCCGGGATCCTGATTCTCTTCTGGATTCGGACCTCGTACTTTCTGAATAATTGTAGAATACAGGTTCTACTGCATATCAAGTCTTCTTATTTTGTACTCAATATGGGGGTTTGGATAATGGGATTTGAGTAGCATGTCGTGTCGCCAGATCCTCGGTCTCGTTTTCCGACTAGGCAGTAAACTCGTAATAGTTCATCTCAAGTTGATGTGTTTACGTGCAGGCGTAACAGATCTAAAAGAATTGACCTAAAACAAATTTAACATTCAGTAATTCTGCTTTTACTTTAACGAATATTAAAATAAATCTAGACAGTCAATCGGTTCATCTTTCGAAAGTTTTACACGGTTCTATAGTCTCAATTCTACACATTGAAAGAGGCCTGAATAAAGAAGATTAGATTAGTTCATTCAGTGATTTCATTTTTATTTCGTTTCCCTACAATGAACAAAACTTTTACATCAAGATAATAACTGTACATTGAAAATAAAATGGATAAGAATTTAAACACATTTCATTGTATCTTCAATCAATTTTTTAACTGATTAAAACGAAATACTTTTAATTCTGTATGAAAACCTAATCTGTCTTTAAATTTATGCAATACAATTTATACTACTATTAAGTAGTGTATATGTATAACATAAATAAATATAGAACTGATCAACACTTACAGGGATTTAATGATTTCCAAGCTACTGTTTTTTTTTGACGAGAACCATTTACAAATCGAAAATGTCTGCGTAAACCTCAGAATTTTAATGACTGGTAGCATTTTACATGTAAGAACCTATTAGTAAGTAATAAAATAGATATCAACAATAGTGAATATAAGACACTCACTACTTGACCAAGTTTTTGTTAGAATAATGAGAAGGCATAAATGATCTGAAAAATATCACGTATTTACGCGCTATACATTTCAAATAATCCGGTCACACACACACACACACATAGACACTTGTCAAGGCATTTTGATATGAAAAATTAATCAAAGGTCAATTAAATAAAATTTCAAATAAACCTAAGGTGATTATTGTAAATGAAGGAGACAGAAAATTAACACACAATATAGAAAGAATAAGAAACGATTGGAAATAGTTATATTACCTACCCTAGGCCATAAAATAGCTTAAAGATTGCCAGGGTAAATTCAAGTTTATAACAAACTGTTTCTGTATACATAAGTGAGAGGTTTGAATTTACGAATAGCCAAAGCTTCCATAAACCTCAAAATTAGTCCTTCAATCTTACTTTACGATGTTATCTGAAGGCTGTCTTTATGTCATTCTTATGCCTCGTTTCAGTAATGTGCTTTTCAATCAATGAACATGGTTTTCTATTTCCAACTCTAATCGGCTCATCTGACGTTAACTGATTTTGAAGCCACTTAGGTACATGTTCCATAACGCTTGATTGCAAAGTGCGATTACTCCTCCCTATGAATATGTGTCCACACAAACATGCGTATTGATAAATGCAATTGGATGTGATGTAATCATTTGGGCAATGTTTGGATCTTGACAAGTGTTCTGTGTGACCTGATTGTTTGAAATGTGGATAAGTGTAAATACATCGCAACATTTTTCAGATCAATTACATCTTTTCACTGTTCTATCAAAATTTTTCTAAAAAGGGATTGATTAATCTAAGTTTTTGTGCCAATTGGCACTTGTCAATAAGGCTAATGTGTAGTAATGAAGTAATTCAGGTTCTATGTGAGACTGATCAGTGACTTACTGTCAGTGACTTCATTACTCAACTATTGAGGATGTGATTAACCTATGGAACTAAAATTTCTACTCTAATCACTTTACAATAGCTGTTGAATGTGTAAGACTAGTTATAAATATACTTATTTATTTAAGTAACTTCGGTAGTTGAAAAAAGAACCAGACAGCCTATCCATTGTTAAGCTAATACTAACTATTTAAACAGTTATGTAAAATAGTCTGTTCTTCAATTAGAGTTATGGAGATTGTCGTTTGTTACTGAAATTATGAATCAATCATTGTTAGACGACAATCATTAGAAACCTGCAAACACTGAACGGCCATTTTGTCCTGGTATAAGAATCATCAGCAGTGCGTACCCTCGACTCCCTCTACCTTCAGGAATCGAACCAGGGACCTTCGGTCTTGCGTACGGACGCCGAAACTTTGGATCACTGAGCCGGCATTCAACGGTATTAATGTCTAACTCTGATCAATCTAAGGAATTAACACGACCTCACACATTTGTCTTCGATTGTTAATGCCTACACTCGACAGGGTGTCATGAATGCACACCGCTGATGAGTACCATACCAGGACGAAACGACTGCCTAATGGCCTCAGGTTTATAAAGGGGATCTAACAATCACTGATTCATGATATCAGTAATTAAGTAGTAGTAGTTAACTCTGGACATGTTGAACCATTGCTTGTGATGGAAAGAAAGGTCTAAATTCGTATATTAAAGGTCGATCTACAGAATTTTTGTTAAATAGGTTAGATAGTAAAAGTGAATCTGGAGTTCTTAATTTGATCTTACAAATTACGGTCACAATCTGACATTAGCTTTGAAGCAATGCATTGTCATTTTACAGTTTAAAAATTAAAGAGACTTACATTTTTGTTGTTCTCGTGTCTAGGTATGCTTCAACTATTACGGGTTCACCTTGGTCGAATAACGAGAACAAAACAATGAACCAGCGTCCAGGTAGGCTACTGTGATCTCTTGACCAAATTGAATCGATAAGAAGTCTTGATGCAGTGTAGAAATTGTATTCTGCAAACACACAGCCAGCACACAATGAATCCAAGCACTCAAATCGCGTTTATTTATACTCTATAGAGACGTCCTTTGGGCAGTCACAGAAATAGCACACACTAAAATGACACAGTAACCAATCACAGCCGAGGATATTCCTGGTGGGAAATGTGATCTCAAGGTCAACTGATCGGTCAATGAAATAAACCCAAAATAAAGATATTATTTATCAAGCGAGTTCTGGGGATCTAACATCCCCAACAGTTTGACCTTTGGATTAAGACATAAGAAAGGAGTATATTATCTTGCTGAACTATGTATCACCTTAAATTCAATTTTCAGTTTCAAAAATTAGAAATTTCTATTGATTTCAAACATTTTGCGGGTCATATATTGCTGATTTTAGCTTTTTTAATCACAACATACAAGTTATTTATCTTTGCAGTTTTAAGTTCGCGCCAAATACATGAGGTGTTATTTTAATCCTGATTGGTTCACTCAAGGCCATCAGTACGTTGTACTTTTAGCATATGACTAATTTTTATGTGACCCAATCAATCAGTGGTCTGTTGTCATTGTGTTATGCTTGTCAATTGAGATGCTTGAAACTGTGACAAGTTCACCTTACTCGGTATAAACGAGAGGGAAGACAAATGATTCGGTGACACAATAGGCTACTTTAATCCGAGCCTCCTAAGGCCCCACTAAGTAGAGGAAGAAGTTTTGACAAGATGTAGAAAGTGTATTCTACAAGCACCCAGAAAATTTGAGGTTCACAAGCACACAAATCGAGTTTATTTATCCATGATAGAAGCGTCGTTTGGAGAGCCACAAAAATAGCGTACTAAAATAATCCATCAACCAATGAAAGTCAAGGATTTTCGGAGTGGGAAATCTAAGCTCAAGGTCAACTGATCATTACATGTGCAAAAGCAAAAAATCCAAAATAAGAACCTTTATCAAGTGATCTCTGGGGAAGCTAACGTCCCTAACACATTGACATAAGTTAAGGCAATTTAATGCTACTTACCATAAGAACTGTTACCGACTACTCAAAATCAAAATTTCATATTTGATACCACTCTTAAAGGTCAAGATAA